GTGTAAAATATTATATTGTTAACATTTTTTAATGTTTACACTTTTCTCTGTAAAACCCTTTGTAAAACGTATATTCAAGAATTGATAACTTTTTATCTAAATTGTGAATCGATTTGAAATTTAGCCCCGAACTTTGAGAGAATACACAATATGATATTAAATTTTCGTCAACTTCGTTACATTTTAACTAACTCTTTAGAACATCCTTAACACAAAAATTTAAGAGACATGATAGAATCAACTATACCACGTTAATTTGGACGGTGTCATTCAGCTTTTATATAAGAAAGGTGACACGTATATAAATAAAAAACACATTTAGATTAAAAAATAAATATATATAGAAGATAAGAATATAATCCACTGTATTAACAAGATAAGTGTAGAGAAGAAAACATAAAAACCATAAATAACATTAAAAAAAGGCTAAATGCTTCTTAAAATATTCTTCATTAATATTTATGAGTGTCGTCATTAACCGAAAGAATATGTTCATAGTCAGTTCCAATTTAATAAAATGACACATCGGGAGGATCTAATAGCTCATATGTAAAAATATACCGTGAAACTAACTATGGAGATATTTATTTTTCTTTTAATGCAATTTCGTAATAACGGTGCCGAATCTTTTATAACTTCAAATTTGTCCACATTTCAATTTCTTGCTTTCTTATTGCAATAATGCGTATATATCATTTATACTTTTCGCAAAAACATTTTCTTTTATCCTTCATGAATATGAGGTCACACAATATAAAGCATATGATATCTCAACTCGAACTCGACGCGCTTCTTACTGTAAATTATAGTTTATTGTTGTTATATAAGAAGCATAAGCATGCACTGCGTAGTTATATACTGATACAAAAATCGACCTATCTTATAACCCAGGTGATTTAGAAGCTCGAGAAATATAAATAGCATCAATATAAGGAAACATAATTTGAAAGCAAAGAAAGATAATATATGCGTGTTGCATGTGCAAAAAAGAAAGATAATTGATATCACCTTCTCGCATGACAATCAAATGTAAAATGTAAAAAATCACATGTGTAACGCTGAGATCAATGAAGCGTACGTAGGAAGTCGAGATTACGAATGTAGAGTAGAATAGAACTCTCATATTTACGTCATTTAGATTTGATCAGATGCAAATAATAGTCTAGAAATAATGACCGATATAATGGTATGCAACATCGGTCGTATCATAGAGTGCAACGAAAAAACATAAAACGATGAAATTATTCAGTATAAGAATTGTAGAACTTTGAAGTTTACCTAGTCATTCGTTTCATTATTTGTCATGCTGATGTAAGAGATTATGCCGACATATTCAATATTTATGCAGGAACATCCGTAATAAACCGTATATTCGTCACCCGTAAGTTAGAGACACTACTCGTGTGTTTAAAGAACATTAATAAATAGTTTATTAATAAGTAACTCTTGGGAGATATTTCAGCCTGATAACTTGATAGTTGTTATACTTATTTCTGATTGAATTTGATAGTCTGCACTGACTATAACACGTGTGTAACCTTTAAGAACCTTGTATCTTTTCCATGCAAATGATTCTTAAAATAAACTAATATCAAGATACACTGCAGAAGTTAAACGTTTTCTTTTTTTAAAAAAGAAATGAAGTTGGAGCATTATAAATCGTATAAGTTTCTGCGATGTGGATTTTTACTTACTTAAATCATTTTCTTATTTTTTTTATAATCTTTATATAGTCCTATATATAAATATAATAAATATAAATTGACCATGAACAAGATATGCATATATATATATATATATGTATATATGTAGATAAAATTGTTTTTTATTTAATTTGCAACATAAGTGACTAATTAGTTCTACTCAATTGTAATTAATTTCACTTGACGGCAAACTTGACTGCTACCTACTTCTGAGTTTGCATCATACATGACATTATACTAATATTTCATGACATCGCTTACTGTACCGCGTACTGACTTTTTTCATGTAAAATAGCCGAAAGACCTTGAATTAAAAAAACCATTTAAAAAAGTATTGACTGTACAAATTAGTAACTTTCATAATTATAATAACGCTAATAGATTATCAATTTAATAAGATAAAATTTGATTTTGTGTGAACCTATAATGAAGGAAAGACAGACTAATATCCATATAAACGTGGTATATTTATGCGATTCGCATAAAATTTCGTAAATTGGCGTTCCAAGTTCCTCAATCCAGAAATAAGGAATGTATGTTTACGTAACATTTAACACTTGCGCAACTACCGGTTCGTGCCAACTAATATATTCTTATTATAAATTAATAGTCGTGTAACAACGCACTCAACCAGTTTTTGCTGCATCATCGAGTACCATCTAAATACCACATCGCGAAAACTGCAGTCATTGCATTTCTTGTAATGCAAATCGAGATGTAGAGATAGTAATTCAGCCATTATATTGCAGGTGAACGAGAGACGGAGAGAATCTCGTAAAAGGAAATTGGAACATGAAGAAATTCGATTGATGCAAATGATCGCTAGCAATACCGGAAATTGTTGAAGAAACATTACGCACAAAGAATAGAAGTCTTTGTTTTGAATAAGTGCCCTTCGGGAACGGATGGTGTAAGAAATTATACGCAATCCGAGTGCAGGATAAAAAGAATGCAACTGCACGAGAAAAACAGCACATGATATTAGAATAAATTATACGCAATTCAAACTGTTATAAACACTGTGAAATACTTAATATTTAAAAAGTGTAATAATTTGGAGAAAATTATGCTCAAGTTGAACTTTCGCATGCATATTAACATATTCACTGATTGTTAATCAGGGATCAAAGATGCGATTCTTGAGAACAAGGTCCAGTATTAGCTGCGTCTAATATTTCTTTCAACATGCAACTGTAACAATACGTAGCCGCGGATGAATCTTCACGCACGCAATATGCATTAGACATACATAACTCACCCCACCTACGCAAGTCAGACAGATTTTTTTATAGTGTAGCCGATAAGCCGATAAACTTGGGTGAAGAGATAGAAGGAAAGTGCGGCAAGAGATAAACAGTGCAGAGAGAGAAGATACTCTTATTGTTAGTAGGTCAATCAAATCTTTAAGTCATGTCGACGAGAAGACGTGCAACAAACGCGCTGCGTATGTCGCGGGCCCGGATGGCCGACATTCAATTCAAGAATCTGTCGTTCGAGGTACAGACTGGATATCGCGGGACCAAGAAGAAGATTCTGAAGGATCTGAACGGCGTCTTCAAGGCCGCGGAGCTGACGGCTATCATGGGACCGTCCGGTGCCGGGAAGTCGACGTTGTTGAACATTCTGACCGGATTCCAACAGGGACAATTGACGGGCACGGTCGAGTATGTCAGTAGCGAGGGTAAACAGAACTGTAACAAGTACAAGAAGCAATCGTGCTACATTCAACAGACGGACAATCTGTACGGTCTGTTCACCGTTCAGGAGAGCATGATGATGGTGACCTATTTAAAGATCGGCAATAATGCGACGAAAATATTCAGGCAGATACTGATCGACAACATCCTGGAGACGTTGCAGCTGGCGAAGGTAAAGGACACAAAAGTCGACCGGCTCAGCGGAGGGCAGATGAAGAGGCTGAGCATCGCCCTGGAACTGATTGACAATCCGCCGATAATGTTCCTGGACGAACCGACAACCGGCCTGGATTCAATGGCGTCCCATCAGTGCGTCTCCGCGTTACAGACCCTGGCGAAGAGCGGTCGAACGGTGATCTGCACCATTCATCAGCCGAGCGCAGCGCTCTATCATATGTTTGACCATATTTACTTGGTGGTCGATGGCCAGTGCATGTACGCCGGCCCGCCCGACAACACGGTGAGCTATTTCGCCCAGCAGGGTTTTCAGTGTCCCCACTATCACAATCCCGCGGACTACATGTTAGAGGTGGCCAACCGGGAGTATGGAGATTACAACAATCAACTGATCGCGGCGGCTAAGGAGTATTGCCAGAGAGAGGAAACACCCCTGAAGATGCGCATCATGAGGGAAGCGTCGTTCTACGACGAGAAAACGAGAGAGATGATGGATCCGCCCTCAGAAATGACGAAATTCAAGATATTGCTATACCGTTACTCCCTGATAGCGTGTCGAGATTGGTCGATAACTCACATCAAGTTAATGTTGCACTTCCTCGTGGCTATCTTGTTGGGCTTATTGTTCGAGCATTCTGGCGATGATGGCAGCAAAACCATCAGCAACGTCAGTTTCTTGCTGGTATGCGGGATGTACTTCCTCTACACCAATTTGATGCCGGCCGTGTTGAGATTCCCTTTGGAGCTGGCCATACTGAAGAAGGAGCGCTTCAACAACTGGTACCAGCTGAGGACTTACTACACGGCCACGCTAGTGATGAATGCACCGTTACACATATTGTCCAGTGTTATTTACTCAACCATCACCTACGTGCTAACTAGGCAGCCCCAGGAATGGTTCCGATATCTCATGTTTCTACTCATCACGACCCTGACGGCTTTCACCTCGGAGAGCGTAGGCTTGGGTCTAGGAACACTTTTCGACCCCATTAACGGCACCTTCTTTGGGGCTATCACCGCGTGCGGGATGCTGGTACTAGCTGGCTTTTTGGTATTTTTCAATCACATGCCACAGATCCTTTACTACATTAGCTTCATGAACTACTTCAGATTCACCTTTGACGGCTTAGTACAGGCGGTTTATGGCTTTCAACGAGAGCCGATACAGTGTCCGAGTGATATCGATTATTGCCATCTTCGAGTACCGTCGCTGATACTAGAAGAGCTGCGTATGACCAAATCTATATTCTGGATCGACGCCGTCGTCCTGTTCGCCTGGTTCGTGGTTATTCGGCTCGCGTGTTACATTTCGTTAAAAAGAAGGCTTTCGAAAGTATGATGAAGATCCCCTGTGTATATTGCTGGTAAAGCGGGTATTATCATTGTATTTAAAATGTAGCGTAATTCGCCGAGATTCTTCTGGGTTCCGTGAGCAAAACGCTGCTTTCGTACCGAGGATCATCGGAGAGGCACCGAAGAGGTTTGTTGACGTCTCGCAAGGATGTGCCCGCTGAATATTGTTAGAAGAAATTTGCATGTCAGTATGGCTGTGACAGCGTTAGTGTGCTCATCGCTTCGTAACAAGATCTTTCCGCCAAGGTAGAAGGTGGTGAATAATTTCGAAGTATAGTATGTCTCTTATCTCCGTAGTGATTCTTCTACGGTCTCAAAGATAGAGAAATGATAGTTTGTATATAAAGTCGAGACGTGTCGGTTGCAACGAAAGAAATGCTTACGCAACTCATGTGCAGCGGGAAGTAAAAGTAACGCTTGTAATTGAGTTCGGCTTTTCCAACTCGATCTGATACAAACCAGCGGGATAAGATACGGAGGATGGAGTACGGTTGTAGAAAGTGAATTGTGACATTGTAGACGCCAAGTGCGAGACGATACTTTCACGCTTGTGCTCGATGGAGCACGTGCTGGGACAATGATGAATATAACATCATATTTTACGCGGCTGTAATTAAAGATATGAAAATTTTATTGCGTTTCGTGATTTATAATAACCTTCTTCGAGCTATATGCCATAATCATAATTTTTTCCGGATTTCAGGTATTTTTTTTAGATCGGATTATAAATAGCGCTAAAATCGCTGCATGCGTGTAGCAGCTCATCAAGTATTCAATAGGCTCTATCCAGTTTGTAAATACACTACACCTCTCCGATATCTTTGTCCACATTTGTATATCATTATGCGAAAGCGGCAGTTTCTGCGAGAATTGCACTTATAAGTTTCCTTCCATTTGCTAATATCACATAAGCAAACAGATTTTTATGCTGTTGCTACAAAGTTCTACTTAAGAATAACTGCATAAATAAAATAAAATTATTTTGAAAAGGATAAATCTGATGAAATCAGCAGAAAAATCTGTATTATTGAATAAATTATTAATGGAGATCAAGTAATAAAATTATAGCCTTCGTCGACGAAGAAATCTTGTATTCAAATGATATACTTATCATGATGTTATTTCGATGTTAAGGATATTTATTATAACGACTAAATAACGTCAACGAAAGACCATTAGCAATATATTAGGAATTTAATATTGGATCTCTTTCGAGTAAGTTATTTAGATTTATGCGATAAAAATGTTTCTTCCAAACCCGCTCAGTTAAAGGGAATTATGCAACACGACATAGATTTATATTTCTCAGAAAGAAAGAATAAAGCTAAGAGCGATAAAGCAGCGGAAGGTATTTCGCGAGTTAGGTAATGTAAAGACGCGGGTCGTAGGTCAAAAACCACTGAGCGCATGGAATTCGCAATAGGATTTCTTAACCGAAGCTAACCACGTGTTTCACATTAGTCTAAGAGCGACGATGGACCGCTAATATCGCGGTCGTGCAAACATAATTTCGTAATAATATTATATAAGACTGTACATGCAATATAGAAGTTGAGAAATAGTTAAATTAATAGCCTTTCACCAACGAATGGAATTACCTTCAATAATGAATTCCTCGGTAATGAACGGGAGAAATAATATTGTTGTCGAATTCGATCTCGCAGATTAAATTAATAAGTTTATTTCCGCTGCGTTTCCCTTCGGGAAGAGACGATCGGCGACTTATCAAAAGTGTAGCGCGATGATCTTGTCTTGTATATGTAACATGAGGTACGAGAAATATAAACTTCGAAATATGGACTACAAATGCTTGCATGTACTGCAATAGTTCGTAAAGTTTGGCGGCGTATCAATTAAAAATGAGCAAGTACAGGATTTGTGGCGTGCTGTACTTGTTAATGTCTATAAGTATCTACATACTGTGCATACATATAGCTAATCGTTATTCTGCGTATAATGAAATACAATTGAAACTTAAATCAGTATGCGTATCATAGGAGCAAAAACGTAAAACGTAATATGTAAATATTGTCTAAAATACTGAGAGTATAATATACAAATAAAATAACGAGTGAGAAAGAAAAAAAAATGCTAATAATGGCAAATGTAGCGCGTATAATAAAAATTATATTAGAAAAAAAGAAAGAAACGTTTAACGGACCGCTCGGGGATCCACGTCAGGCGACACTGTGATTATGGAAAAAATGGTACATTTATTATATTAGTGATAGTAATATTACTAATGATATAATTACATATTTTTTTCTTTCTCAATCGATACATTTGCTCACTCTCTCATATTCTTTCTCTCCCTCTCTTGCATTCTTCCGTTTATTCTTTTTTCCTCTCTCTCTCTCTCTCTCTTTCTCTCTGTTTTATTCAGTTTAGATATTTATATTCATCTCGTACTTCATTAATATTAGTAATCGCATTCTTCATAATCGCATATAGGGTCGAAGAGATCGGTTTCAACATCCTCTAGGCCCATTCACACAAACTGCCTACAACCCACTTACGCATTAATCTTTTTTTTTATTACATATTATACAATATTATATATCTAATATAGTTACACTCTTATATGATATGATAATTATCGATTCGCAGTTGTACCAATAAAACTGAACCATTACACGCAATTAGACCGCAACAAATAGAACCCCTTACGTTCTCATCGATATTTGCCGCTTAACAGTAATCATAAATTGAAATCAGAATTTACAACCAGCTCATACCAAACGAAAGTGCGATGCCCCCTTGTTCTCGATATGCGCATACTTGAAAATAACGTCTCATTAAGAGTATAATTATTTCGTTTCATGTACAAAGGTCTGTGTGAAGGGGCCACTATGGCCGACAATTTCGACTTCGACCCCCTGTGTAGACCTCTTCGCTCTTCAGCTTCATTTTGACTATCTACGACTATCGACACGTGTCTAGCTTAGACTGGCTTACGAGCTATTTATTGTCGTTATTATTTTACATGATTACCTTCGCGAATACAGATGTGTGATCGTGTATTTTATTAGTGTCTGTGAGCGGCTCTTTTTGCAATTTATCGCAATGTACATTTATCGTTATGTTCTCTCTTCCTCTTTTTCGCTCTCTCTTTCTTTATTTTTAGTTACATATAATTTTATAAAACGTCGCCAAAGCAACGTAGCGTGATTAATGATTAATAATTAAACATGGAGCGAGGTTGTGCGAGTTCTTGCCGATCAGATTGCCCATAGTCTACAGATCCTGATCGAAAATGAAAGTGATTTTATGATAGGTCTACTATCTAGTGAAAATATGTAAGTATTTTATAGCTTATAAAAATTAGTGTTGGGATAATCGTTTTAATTCTTCTCGTGTCTCGTGTCATTAGATGGTTGGAAAATAAAATATTTAAAAATTTTTGCAATGTCAGTATTGTATAAAATATTACAGAGTATTAACAGTACTGTATGATCGCATTCTGATTCGTAATCATAAAAAGATCTTTATTTTACATTTATATCGTGCATGCGTACGTGTTCAACTGCGTTTTAAAAATATTTTTTCACATATACATTATATGCAACCAAGGCAGATATTTAGTCCAAATAATTCGACCATTTTGTAGTTAACAAATGAAAAAAAATGGCTTTATAATTTGAATATAATATAATTATAATTATTAATAATAATTTTTTAACAATAAAATAATATAGTTGAGACATCACTATACGAAAATATTCGACTTGAGTTTAGTTAAAAATTGAGCGAAAGAGAGAAAATATTTTACAGATTCCTACAATATACATATGATATGTTTGACAGATTTTGATATGAATAGATCTTAAAAGAGTGCCAGTAAAGGAAAAGCCTGTCACAGAGTCTGAGCAAGAATATATAACATTCGTACGATCTTCCGTAATTTCTATGAAATACTGTTATGCTTTTGAAGAAAAATATAGCTATAGATATACGTTACGCAAGAGAAGATACTCTCGATAGATGAGAAGAAAAAGAAAGTAGAACGGAAAAGAGGCGAAATAAACACGGGCACTCGATGCGTTTGCGTTGGTTTCTTTTTTTCAATAAAATTTATTTAAGAATCTAAATAAATTAAAATACATGGCAACTGGGTACAGATACGTTTGAGCTATATTTTTGTTCAAAAACAAAAATGTCCCGTTTTGTATTTCTCACGAAAGATCTTATCAACGGTAATTAATCGATAATAATAATAATAATAATTAATCATGATTATGACAGGTTGATTGGTTTGGCTCTTCTCTTGTGCGAGCTAAATCGTGTTCATAACGACTTTATATCACGCCTTATGAAGCTTAATTTATTTCGTTCGCTCGATCTACATTCCACTTCACCGCGTATATATAAGTACAGAAAGTCTGCCCGAATGATCGGTGGCAAAGGTAGCGCAGGAAGAGGAGCGCCTTGAAGATCTGAGAAGGTCCAGAATGATTCGACGATGTACCAAAACCAGTCGATGCCATCGAAAGATCGTCTTTTCTCCAGCAATGCAGCATTATGAAAGAAAAGCACTGCATAACGCATTTGTGAAAGTGCATCCGTAAATGTCATATGCATTGTTATATGTCATAACAAGGATATATTTCACATTAAGCGTACGTTGTAATATTTTTCGCAATGCGCACGTCTTGGCACATGTAAATGCTTTTCAATTCTTGCTGATAATGTATATGCATATCTCATAATTGTGAAAACATAAAGCGTGTAATCTGGGACAATAATTGTAGAGAAAGAGACCTCTTAATTCTTCCTTTTTGATCCATATTTTTACTGCCCAATGCTTTTCTCAATGCCGCAATAATATTTGAGACAATCCATTTCGTAGTTGCAATTTGTAACCGTGTCAAGACACGGATAATAAAAGACATAAAAATTATTAATATACAATTCAAGAATGTCCTAAAATGTCTTAAATGAAAAATCCTTCATTATTCTTAAATTAAAAGATCGTTCGAACGATCATTGTAATAAAATGATTAACAAATTATTTATTGAAAGTAATGCAAATGTTATAGTGTCTCTTATAGTGTTACTTCTTATAATGTACGCTTTCGGTTTTGGGCACGGATCGTTCACGCTATTTTCCTATGATTACTATAAAAATATTTTATAGAACTATAAACTATTTTATAGTTCAATAAAATATTTTATAGAAAATCCGAAATAATTACAATGACTTGTAATAAAAATGAGATGTGATTTGCATATAATAGCATATAAATTATGCTTAATATAAACTACGACTGTGTGAATGGATTAATAATATCCATCTCAATATTAAAATCAAGAGAGTCCTATAAATGGCACTTAAATGGCATACATAATCAAATTCTAGCCGTAAAAAAACTCTTGAAGAATTGTAAAATAAATACATGCCGATAACTTTATTAAGTGGGGTATCTTCACGGCTTTCTTACTTTCTCTGAGATAGTAATAGTTCTGTTCAAAATGAGAGTATTTTAAACAACGCAATGTCATAAGAAACATCCATTATTATTTATACGTTCCTTGGAGCTTTTTTTTTAATGCATAAAATATATATATTTTGTATTATATATATTTTATTTTATTTTTAGTTTTAGAAAAGCAAATCTCGTATGAAATAACATTTACGGTTTTCATTGTCTTTGTTTTCCTAATCAAATTATTAGAAAAAAAGCTGAAAGTATCGAAAAATGATTTTCTTATCACATCGCGATGCAGTTAAAAATGGTGTTCTCGCGAGCGTGAACGAACCGCTAGCATCTTCAATTCACATTCTGAACGCTCGTAAATAATAGTCTCTATATACAATATTGCCAACGTCTAATGATCAACATAAAGGCGACATGATCCGTATGCCATATTGGCCAAGAGTTAAATTCTGCTAAAATCGGTTTTCTCTTAAGACCAAGAGATTCTTAATCAAGATTTGCCGATTCTGTTAATTTACATAATCGAAAAGTATATTTAAATATATCTGATCGATTCGGAAATATGCTGCCTTTATTTTCATCCCTAGCCAATGACTCTGTTTTTCGCCAACTCGAGTTCTCTTCCTAGCTATTGCGCATTATAACGTAAACGTGTCGGTAGTGTATACACAGAAGTGGGCAATTTAACATGAGTCAGCAGCGAAGTTCGATCCTTAATAAAATCTTGATCGTACTACACATTATATATCTCGAAAGAGGAACCATATTCCTTTGTTTTTTTCTTTTCGCTATTTATAAAAATAATTTGAAGCCGCCTTGAGGGGGTAGATGCCTCTTAAAACTACTTGCCCTATGCTTGGGTGAACGCATATGGAACTTCTTCCCTTATTAATTGCATATTGAAGAACTGCGAAAAAAATTATGGGTATTTCTGTGTCGCTCTTGCTACAGTACCAAGACACGTGTCCTTAAATGAATAGATATAAATACTTTTAAGTAATCCCAAATTATAAGAAAAAAAATTTATACGAATAATAATTAATAATATAAATATTAAATAATAAACAAGATATTTTTAAAAAATATGATTGGAAATGTCTCTTATCTACTCTCCTTTTCTTTCTTCTATTAATGTAACACACCACATAATATCCACAATTTTTTGCACATTCCCACAACTTATAAGAGCAGAGAAAAATCCTGTATGGTTATGTAAGTCATGTTCATAATTCATTGTTTCTTATCGATTTTAAGATGTATCTACCCCTTAACACAGAATGATACCGCCACTGAGCCGCTGCTACTGCGGCTGTGGTGGATTGTGCTGAAGGGAAGGTTGTGGACCCTAAAACAAAGATGTACATTTTATTTATACATCCCAAGGTAATCTTGCTCGTGCGAATTTAACTTTGACAGAATCTTACAGGTAATGCGGGGAAGGGCGGTTGGGAGTGCGCGTGTGGATGAGAATGCGGATGTGCTATGTGCGCTGCAAGGTGGCCTGGTAACTTCGGACCATCTTCGGCTTTTTCTTCTTCTCTTCTTTTTAAACACGCAGCTTTTGGATTAAGGTTCCGTTCTAAACAAAGAAAAGGATAGATGAAAAATACAAATATTTATACAAGTTAATACGATGCAACCGATGATCAAGAAGCGTGTCGGTACACGTACCTCTGACTTGTTGTTCGAGTGTCATTATAACTTCAACAGCCATGTTGAGAATACCGAGCTTCGTTTGAGGTTTGTCCGTCTTTAGATGTGTCATACACATTCTACCGAGTTCCTTTAGAGCCTCATTGATATCCCTGATACGTATCCTATGATGAAAAATAAAATTTAAGCATGCTAATTATCTTTATTAAAAATGAAAGAATATCTTTTTTTAAGTCTCAATGTCAAAGAACGGAATAACCTTAACTACATGTAATAATTTTGTGATAACGTTATTTGTAATAAAATTTGTCTATTAATATTTACTTACATACTCATCGCATTAAGCAATATTCTTTTTGTATATGTTTACAGTGAAAGAAGTTAATGTAGCAGAGCCAATTACGAGAAATGTAATTCTACCACAATATCATATATATTTTGTGATTCTTAATTAATACAAATACAATTGTGTATACGTATGTGATAGGAATAAAGTTTTCATGCATATATATATATATATATATATACACCAGAACATGCCGATTTCGTGAAATAATGTATGTGGGGAAAACATGTCATTTATCTTCATCGTCATCGAGAAATATTTTTAGTATATTCATGTTACACTGTCATGTCACATATACATAGAATACGGGCCGCCGTTTACTACTGACCAGAATTGTCATATCACTGTGGATCAAATATAATCTATATCTTTTTTTCTTTTTACGTCCGCTGCGTATATCATTGATCTTACCTTTCCCTAGCGTTATTTGCTTGCCGCCTCTCTTTCTCCCTTTGTGCCTTCATGTCGGGATCATCATCCTCGTCCTCGGCGCTCGAACAACAGTTGCGCAATAACAATACGCGATTAATCACCTGGCTTACGTCACAACTTACTCTAGCCTATATCGCTTAAATTATCTAACGACAATCGAATTACTAACGTGAGAGACACGCGCGCGACACAGTCGCAAATTGCAAGAAAATTGCTTTTGACTTGCTGGAGTCTAATCACCTAATTGTTGTTCGAGCGGATTTCGTACACATACATACGTTTCTTATTACGATAGACAAGCGATATGATAATGAACACACGCAGGTGGTTTCGTAATTTTGAAATCATGGATAATAAGTAGGTTACGAATTTAAAGGCCCGTATTCTTTGCACAGAACAAACAGTCGACGGCGAATAATCACGTCAAAGGACAGTGATCTTTCGGATCGAAAAATGCAGATCTTCTATTTTGACGCTGCTACCTAGAAAATTAGAGAATGCAGATGACATCTATACAATTGTCAATAAAAATCCTTTTCCAGAACAACTATAATAATTTAGAAGGATTTAAAAAAATAATCACTAAAATAATAAGAAAGTAAAACAGTACACAAATAATTAAAAATACATAATTAACATCAAAATAGATATCTGATTAGGTGTCCTATTGAAAGATCGATATTGATCGATTTTGATTTTAAGAATGTATGACAATTCCTTAAAAATGTATGTAACACGTGTATTATGCCAACACAGTTTATCAGTTTACAAATAATACGACATGTTCTTTCACTTTTACAAAGGTAGTAAAAGAATGCGCTTGTGGGAGTAAAAAGAGAAAAAGTCTATACAACTGAGCAATTTGATGCAACGTTCAGTGATGCAGAAATAAGTGCGAAATGTTCTAAAAACGAAGTGGCATGCCTAGGGACCGAATCGCAGCTGAATTAAAATGAGACTGATTTGTAGGTACGCAAGAGAGAGCTGTTAAAATTCCATTCTTGTCTCATCTCATTTCTGTCCTTAACCAGAAACATTTTAATTTTCACGCCTGAATACGGGCCTTATACAGTGCAACGGATGTGAGGAGCTTTTCGGATTGCGGGACATTTGTACTTATCTTGTAACGAAGTCGTAAACATGCCGCGCGTTTCCCCCGAATTACATTTCGTGAATTAATCGTCTCCACGCTTTATTGCTCGTTCACAGCACCTCGTTTTTTTTTGTTTTTTTTTTTTTTTTTTTGCATGCATACGACTAGGTGGCAGGAACTTTCCCCGGGAAAATGTACAGCGGAATTTTTTTTTGTTTTTCGTATGTTACGCTCGGCGACGCGGACATACATACGCGTATCGTCCGCACCGTAAAGCGGGGAGCACACACTTCTGCATAACGCATAATGCGTAAGCATAAGAAAATTGATTGGTCCATACACATGTGCATAAGAAAATAGACCAATCAATTTTCTTATGCTTACGCATTATGCGTTATGCAGAAGTGTGTGCTCCCCGGTTAAGCGCGTACATGTATATACATCATCGGGATTGTGGGAGCGAGAACGGGACAGGAGGGTCTGTTTGTATCAAGATGCAACGAAGTGCGTACTGCGTGTGTTCACTAACCTTTCACGCACGTTGTTGGCCTGGCGACGTTCTTTCTCGCGCACCGCTTTGGTGCCAGGATCGTCGCAGTCTTCGTCGGCGCTCGAACAACAGTTGTTCAAAGACACAGCAAGTTAGTTCGGGAATAAATTTTCGAAGGTCGGAAATTAAATTCTAATTCGCTCGATTTTCAAGGGGATTCTCAAGTTAATGCAGCGATATGATTTATCTTTATTTTTTTCAACGTCCACGAGACTCGGGGCGAAACACAACAGACGTTGGACACGCGGCGTGTCGACTGCAGCTCCTCTTTATTTTTATCATCGTTTTTATCACTTGACACGTCTAATCTATCGAGGAATTTATTTGGGGGTCTCTTGAATTGTCTCTTGAAAATTCTGTTTCAGATACTTACTATCTGCGCGATCGCTTCGTTCCCTTTCCTTGCGACGTCGAGTTGACTGTAGCAGCCCCGATTACCCCGGCCGCCGCGAGCTCGCTGCTCGATGGCTTCGTCTCGCCGCCGCTGCTGTCGGGTGGATCTTTCCTCTTTTCTAATGCAGGGATGTATTCTGTTCATTATTAATACTGCCGCGTAAAATGTTCACGAAAATCGCATTGTTACATATAATTCGCAAAGCAGAAGAAACCAGATGAAATTCATGTCAATTCGAAACGTGTGCTTTTCATTTCTTCGTAATTCCGAAAGCGAAACGTATTTCAAGAGGGTTTAAAAAAAAAACAGACCATGACAGTAGCCTCATTCGAGCATTGTCGACAGATTATCTAATGCAACCGCGGAAAAATGTCACGGGCTTATCCGGAAACGGAGAAAGAATAAACGCGACCGACCTTCGCCGAAGACGGCGATCGCGATCTTCGATTATCCCGGAGCTTTAAGCAAGAAGGCTTAGTCACGAAACCGTTAAAAGCGTCCAATTAGGAGCAGCTGGAGAAGCGCGCTTTACTGGATTTTGCTCAACCCTGATTCAACCGATCGCCTTAAACTTTTTCTCTCTCTCTTTCGCCTGACGATTCGCAAGAGTATTAGGCTCATGTATCCCGCGAATGTGTCTGTTTAAAAATGAACTCGTGAAACAATCGCGGCGGATAAATCAGATGCACGATTATGTGTGCGAAAGTGCGATCGCTTTTAAATCGCGCTTCGTGACGCATCGCAACCTGGACTGCGAAACGAAACGTTCACGGTGGAAATATTTGCGTAATCAAACGTATTTCCTTAAAGGATTCGGGCTATTTAGTTCTCAATACGCTGCTTTTCACGGAAGTTACCCCAGACGAGATTTCACGAATTTCCATTCATTCCTATGCACGTAAACAGTTTCCAAACCCGCAAGAATGTTCTGCATTCCTTCGACCAGCTAACGTAGGATCTCCTAATCCGTAGTAAAAGGATACCAAATGTTCTCCGTCGGCATAATGACTCCAAGAGCGCGGGAGGCCGAAAGGGACGGACGCAACGAGGCGGAAAGAGAAACGAAGAGCGAGAGATAACCGAACGTACTCGCGGGAATAATGCAGGCACGATCGCCGGACAGCAAAGACTTCGCGTGATTTATCTAATATTTCCTTATTCGGCCGCGAGTCCGTTGTGTGGAACACCTGGGAGCTCCTTCCCTTTTCCCTCTCCTTCGCGGGAATTCATGGGAAAAGTGACTGCTCGATGATGCGACGATGCGAGAATAGAACGTGATCGAAAGGACGCGCCGTAATCATGATTCTTATCGCGGTATTCTTCTTATTAAAAAAAATCATCGGACATTTTTAACGCGAAAATAGTTATAGGCCGAGGAAAGACCATCATCAAGTCATCAAAAGCTTGTTATGGGAATCACCGCCGTAATCGCGAGCTGGTTTCTCCTACGTTGCAAATTATATCGCGATTCATCATACGCCACTTCGGGGTCAACTTACTGGCATTCGTCACAGGTAACCTTTCGATCTTGATGGAACCGTCCGTGTCGGGCGTAGGCGTAAGACCGGGGTAGGAACCCTGAGGTTGCGTCACCGTTACCGCAGAATGTGGACTCGTCTGGAAGAGATAGTATTATAGCGTATCGCGGAATAAAAGGGATTCCTCGTAATTGTAATTGCCCTGGTATTTCTTATTCGCCGCTGATTGGCGAGGCTTCTTACCAAATGATCCAGTTGCGGTGGTGAGGTGTGCGAGTATATCCCGCCGTGTGGACCGACCGGGCCAAGATGAAGGGCCACTTGACTTTCGGCGTGATTCCTCAGTACGTTTATGGCATCGTCTAACCGCTCCTCCATCCGTGTCCCCTGTACCAACAGAATACCGAAAATGCGACTCGATTACGCACCGATAGTTCAAGATTGTCCTGCTGCCTTATTACATATTATTCAAGGGATACTGTAAGGGAAGACGTATCACTGACGTTTTTATTTTTTCTTAGATTTTTACGATTTATTCCAGAAAAGTTTTACAAGGAAAATATAATATTCAAAGTCAATATTGAATTCTCTTATTGCGCTTCTCTAAGTGCTCCATGGAAAGATAGTTCTGTTGACCGAAGAAGTAGATCTCGGAAGAAAGATAGTATTACAAGAGTATTATATAAAAAAAGGATCCGACCGATTATTTTTAATTAAAGGGTTTAATACGGTTTAATGCCGAATGATTTATCGAAACGCGTTTTTGTTAATAGAAAAGTACAAGCTACGATTATACATTGTGCACAATATAAAGACCTCATCACAATATATAATCATAATTAATTGAAAGCGTAATAATCAGCAAAAAGTGCAATGAACATGTTGTGGCATTTGTCTCGTAGCGTAAACATGCGTAAGAAACGTGGAAAAGAAGGGAGCAAATGAGAAGAGGGGAGGGGGGGTAAAAAAAACTGAAATTCGGCGGTCCTCACCTCGGCGTGGTCGCGAAGGAAGCCGATGGCATCGTCTAGCCTCTGCTGTTCAGGCGCCGGCTTCACACACAACACCAACGCAACAACAAAACCAAAAAAAAAAAGAGAGAAACAACCAAGTCAACACAACGTTCACAACAAACAGGGCGGAATGAATAAAAGTGTGTGTGTCAAATGAACGGGAGAGAACGATAAACTTAATAATCTTTTACGCAAATGGGGGGGGGGGGGGGGGGAGGATATAAATAAGTAGCCGCTCGTAATGTAAGGGAAGCACACAAACGGTGATTTCTCGGTGCAAACGCGATCATGCACTTTGTGCAATTTCAATGCTGCGTGATTATGTGCGAATAGCGACCGTAATATCTCGTAATAAAAAATTAATCTTTGACACACAAAAATAAGTCTTTGACAGTGCGAACGACGACCTTCCTTTACTTCCGCTTGTATACCGTTCCTCCATTGCTCGTAACAATCCTCCCCCCCCCCCCCCCCAAAAAAAAAATAAGAACTGGAGTGTATGAAGTTAGTCCCCCTTTTTTTGAAATTCATATTTTTGAAAGTTGTTCCAGGTTGTTCTGACTTTGTACTACATTGTTCCAAAACGATATTCCTTAATTCTCAACAGTTTTTTAATAAAATAAAAAAAACAATTTTTTTGGCTGACCCCCCTTTTTTCGAAAATTGAAATGTTTTTTATCACTACAGATTGTTCTAGTTGTTCCAAACATTGTTCCAAAGTATTAGTTCGATTGGTTAAAAACTTTAAGTTATTGAAAAAAAAAAAATTTTTTTAAATAACAGTTTTTGGCTATTTATTCGTAAACAAAATGACTTACAAAACTGTCGATCTAGAACATATTTCTAACCGCGTAGAACAACTCAGAACAAAATTTTTAAGACTAGAACAAGAAC